AACAGAAAACGAATTCACCCAGAAAAATTCTCACTTCACGATTTTATGGTATTTGTGTATAACGATTTTTCCGATTTATTGAAAATTCCGAGAGTTACTGACCAATAAATATAGCGTCGACGAGTATGGGATTTTTGGGAAAAAATTTCTGGGGAGCTAGCCGGAACCAAAAACATTTCCCAAGTGACATTGTGTAGGAGGAAGGAAACGCGAGGAAGAAGGACGATGAAGAAACTTGGAAGTCATTTTCCAAAGAGTTATGAATTATCGTTGAAGTGGCTACACCGGTAAAAGACCTAGCAGAATTGAAACATGAATTTTTCAGCATTGAATTTTCATGGGAATATTAATCTCCGGGATTGTGGAGATTGCGATGAGAAGAATTTTCCGGAATTAAGTGATTTATTAAAAATTCCGGAAAGCTCTCGCCTGAAATCGTGCGATTAAATTCATCGATGGATTTATTGGTGAGTGCTATAACGCCATTATCGAATCAAGTATTTCGGGTGAAGAATAGAGTATTTCGAACAATGTTCATTCACGAATACTGCATATTCATAATTATTCCGCGTTTTATCACTGAACGATTGCGGAAGAAACGATTAACCGAGTTTCACTGTTTTACGATCTTCATTCCTTTTTTAGTGCGCCTGTAAAATTAATTAATAATTATTTCTTTTCACGTTGGAAAAACATTTGTCAATCTTAGGAAAGAAGTTTAGAGATTCGCGAAAACTCATTCTCGATTCAAGGCGAAGTTCTCCTGAATCAAGAATGAGTATTGTACAATCAAGAAAATAGTTTTCTAACATTTTAAAAGTTCTTGTTCTGCGTCCTCTTCAGATCCTCATTCATCATTTACGTTCATGTCCCTCATAAGTTTAATTCCCGTGTAATTCACTATTTTCTCTAATATAAAATTACGCTTTTCATTGAGTTGTTCCGTGTAATTATTATTCTCCGCTTTTAATTACCTACTAATTGTTCGTGCATGTTTATTGAATGCTCGTTTAAAGGGGTCGTTAATTAGAATGTTTTAAATAATCGAATGAGATAATAATTTTTATTAATGAAATATTACCCTGAGAAAAATAAAATTCATCGAAAACAATCAGCGATCGATCACTTCCAACACCTTCACTCAAAAATCGATTTACAGCATTTTACAACAGTTCAACCAGTCGTTCATGCAGATGCGAATTAAAAATTGAGTGCGTCCAGTAAAACAAGTGCGGTGAGATAAATATTCGTCGAATGAGAAATTAAATGGTGGAATTAACTGTCGAGATTCGCGTTGTACTCTGAACTTTCATGTTCACCAGCTCCAAACATTGCCATTCATATATTTTAATACAAACATATGAACAATTATCGATGTGAAATGCGTAGGAGTATAATAAAATCACGTGATATCCATGTTGGCTGTTAGAAATTCGTTTCACTTCCGGGAAAGGTTTCAACAAAATTCTCCATGTTGGAAAGTTGAAAGCAATTTGAGATTGAGTCTTTCATGAAAAAGTTTTCCTTCGTCCTGAGAATTCCATAAGATGTTGGATTTTC